CAAACTGTTCAAAGGGCTTTAAACGATTCCAGGTGATGAATAAGGGTCTTATCTAGCGAAACGATCACTCATTTAAAAAAAAAAGTTTAAGTTTTATAAGCTCAAATGGTCGCCTCGCTTTGTTCTGTGACGCACGTTCGTGACTCTCCTATTCGAACTCGTTCATTAAAATGAATGAATTTTTCCAGAGTCAACTCGTTCATTTCGTTCGTTGAATGAACCAAATGACACGAAAAAAGATTTGTTCATTTTGATGAACGAGTTCGAACAGGAGAGTCACGAACGCGCATCACAGAACAGAGCAAGGCGAGCATTTGAGCTTATAAAACTTAATCTTTGTTATTTATTTATTAAATGAGCGATCGTTTCGCTAGATAAGACCCTTATTCATCATCTGGTGTTGTTTAAAGCCCTTTAAACAGTTTGCAGTTTGCACTAAAACTCTCATTTGGACCTGGAACCATTTGGTTCCCATTGAAGTCCATTATATGAAGAAAAATCCTGGAACGTTTTCATCAAAAACCTTAATTTCTTTTCGACTGAAGAAAGAAAGACATGGACATCTTGGGCGACATGGTTGTGAGTAAATTATCAGCAAAAGTTTTTTTAAAAGTGAACTACTCCTTTAACAAACTGAACCTTATTGTAAAGAATTATCGCAAGCTGTTTTGCAACTGTGGACTGAAAAAAAAATGAAATGAAATTGATTTAAGTTTGCAGATGAGAGAATATTTCTGTGCTGCCTGGTCCGGACTGGATAAATGCAGGTGGACCAGCGTAAAGACTACGGAGGTAAAGCTAGTTTAAGAAACCTAGTCTGGTTCCCATCCCACCAACACCCAATTCTCAAAGTTGACTTGTACCTGGTAGAAGTAGCACTGCAGCGGAGACTCTTTGCTTTCCTCATCAACGAACAAGCCCCCGATGACAAAGAGCTGGTTCTTCTTGGTGCAGAAACTCACGTGGTTCTTCGGCACTTGCTCTGACACGGCGGCCAGAAAACACTCGTTCTCGGCCACGTCGTACGCAACAACCGCCGTGTCATTGATCATGACGATCAGATCCCGTCCGTACATGCCCAGCCTACGAGTGTCGTTCAAGTAACCCGGCAGCAGCTCCTCCTCTCCCTCTTCTCCGGCCTCTCCTTCCTTCTTCTCTTTGGGTTTCGTCTCGGGGAGTTTTCCTCCGAAGGCATCTTTGATGACCTGCAGCTTCTTCAAGACTTCAGGATCGGCCTTGATCACGTCATCGGTCTCCACCTTGTCCCGGAAGTACTTCTCTGGGAGCAAGCGGAAGCGGATGCAGTCGAAAACTTCTCCTAGGCTCTTGGCGCGCTTGGCCTTGTCGCTGCGCACCCACTTCATCGCAGACTCGAACACGACTTCTTCTTTCTCCACATTGAGCATGTCTCCACCAATCAGGGCCAAGAGCTCGTGAGGCGCCAGTTGAAGGAACTCCTCCTCGGCAGACACGGTTTCGAAGCGGTCGGCGATGAAATCGCGAGCCGCTATGGCGAGCCTGGGAACGCTGAGGACAAGGCCGAGCCGGAAAACGCCGAGACAATTGGACAGCGAAAGCTTCTGCTGAAGATAGTTCACGCACACTGTGAACACCGAGGGAATCTGGAAACGGTTCGCCACGGCAAAAATCTCCTGAACGTTGTCGTCCGTCAAGTCGATCTCAGCCGAATACAGATACCGGATGACCATGTCCATGATGGTGGGGTCGACGTCATCCAGAACCACTTCTTTGCCGCTGTCCTTCTCCTTGCCGTCCTCGGAGAAGAAGAGCTCTCTGAAGTAGGGGCTGCAGGCGGCCATGATCAGGCGATGGCAGGGAAAGCTGCGGTCACCGATTTTTAAAGTGCAGTCCACAAACTTGTTCTCATTCAGAAGTTCCTTCAGTCCGTCCTGCAACAAGGTGCTCTGGAACAGCCGCAGCTCCTCCTTTATGGCTTTGGGATCCATGTTGTTGTGTTTCGAGATGGGAAATGAAGGGCTAGAGGAGAAAGAAGTGGAGAAAGTGGCTGCAGGTCTGCTCGCCACACCGTCCGGGCTGGAAAAGGACAGAGCGCTGAAAAGATTCCCAGGGTGAAGGGGTTGTTATTTAATCCTGCCGTTCTAAATATAACCATCCCGCTCTCGTCCACCCCCCCCCCTCAATCCTGGTTGTGAAGAAGGGGATCCCAATGTGATGGCCAGCCAAGACGCCAGGACGCGGCGCACGTAAAGACCTGAGGAGACCTACGAGTCTGCAAGTTACCAATCCAATTCTTGTTGTCTATATTACATCTAGAATCGGTGAGTTCATCTATTCGGTGAGTTCAATTCCTCACATGAATGAAGGGTTCGCTCGCTCGCAGGGTTTAGAGACAGCTGCGACTACAACAGGTGACGGGCCATTTTCAGCTGCCTCGAGTCACCCAAACTTTATTACACATGCGTCAGATCCTGGAAGGATAACAAATGCTACTTGGAAAAAAAAGTGCAAAACGGGACATCTTTGAAGCTTATTTATCCCACAAGTTTTATAGTAGTAACATTAAAGGAGTAGTTCACTTTTAAAAAAACTTTTGCTGATAATTTACTCACCCCCATGTCATCCAAGATGTCCGCGTCTTTCTTTCTTTTCAAGTTTTTGATGAAAACATTCCAGGATTTTTCTCCATATAATGGACTTCAATGGGAACCAAACGGTTCAAGGTCCAAATGAGAGTTTCAGTGCAGCTTCAAACGACACCAAACGATGAATAAGGGTCTTATGTATCGAAACGATCGCTCATTTAAAGTTTATAAGCACAAATGCTCGCCTTGCTCTGTTCTGTGATGAGCGCTCGTGACTCTCCTGTTCGAACTCGTTCGTCAAAATGAACGAATCTTTTTTCGAGTCATGATTCGAAGGGTCCTAGATAAGACCCTTATTCATCGTCTAGTGTCGTTTAAAGCCCTTTGAAGCTGCACTGAAACTCTCATTTGGACCTTGAACCGTTTGGTTCCCATTGAAGTCCATTATATATGGAGAAAAATCCTGGAATGTTTTCATCAAAAACCTTAATTTCTTTTCGACTGAAGAAAGAAAGACGTGGACATCTTGGATGACATGGGGGTGAGAGTTTTTTTAAAGTGAACTACTCCTTTAATGTATATATTACTACTCTTTTAGGAGTGGACAAGCTACATAGTTGTACTCCCCCAGAAACAAGCTGTTGTACCCCTAAAGGTTCAGAGGAGAGCGGCAGTCAGACTAGAGACACTATTACTAAAATTAAAAACAGACAGAAAGGTGTTGGGGGAAGGAGTCATGTGTAATTTAAGTCAAAGCATAAGGGACAGATGTGTGAGACTGTTAAAGCATGAGGCGATATTAATAACAGAGATAAATGACTATACCAGCTTAATGTCATATTATGTATATATATTTGGATGCCGCTTTCTTAGAATTTCGGGGTTGATTATCTTGGTGCCTAATTATATTTAACCAAATCAAGGCATTTTTTCATATACAAATTTTGTGGAGAAAGAGGTTTTACCAACATAATGGTGTAGTATGGGCACAGTTAATGGTGTACTATTAACTGTGCCCATAACTGTGCAACATAATGGTGTAGTATGGGCACAGTACACACTACTGTAGTAAGAAGCTAGCTAGACTATGCTAAGACGCCAACACTTTGCTCCAAATTAATTAGTCACAACATGAACAAAAATGGCAGGTCATGTACTTCCAGGACTGCATCCCATGCAACTGCCATTGAGATGAATGTGAACGCTAACCAGAGGCGGACAGTAACGACAGAGTAAATTGACTTGCGTACAGTACTTAAGTACAATTTTGAGGGATCTGTACTTTACTCGAGTATCATTTTTGGGGAGTATTCATGACTCAAGTATATTTCAGAGGAAAATATTGTACTCTTTACTCCACTACATTTATATCCATGACCGTGACGACACGTTACTACTTCTAAAAAAGAAAAAAGAAAATTGACACCCTCAATTTGTTGTTTTCCTCTCAAACGTGATTGGATTGTGCAGGCACCACAGATTGGGACAGCCTACACTGTAAAAATGAATATGCTTTTTTTAATCAATAGAATTGTGGCAACAGATTACAAGCAATATTATTAATTAAATTGAACAAATCAGAATTGAGTAATAATTAATCCAAAAAAAAAAAAATCTCACTAACAGACAGACGTCAAAGATTAATTAAGAACTGTTTATTTTATATTGCCAACATTGAAGACACCTGATGTTAACAAGCCGAATCACGGAAGGATTTTAAAACAAACACTGATCACCATAATGGTGACATCAATTTATGTTTTTTGGGTTGTTGTTGTACGTTTTACTCATTTTAAAAGGTTAACTTTTAAGAAATTAATTTGATTAATTATTACTCAATTTTAATTTCTTAAATTTAATTAATAATATTGCTTGTAATCTGTTGCCACAATTTTTTTTTATTAGATAAAGCATATTCATTGTTACAGTGTTATCAGCAAAGTCAACTCCATGGTCAGATTTAGATAAGAGACGAAACCATGGACGAAACAATGGATGAAGACGCAGCCGGGCCATCCCGTGAATGTGCCGACCCGTGGCTATTTCAATTTTCTGAATTTTAGGAAATTTTCTTAAATGCTAAACGTACTCAATTAAAAGTACTGAAGTACTTGTTTTTAAAAGTACTTGTTAAGTAGACATCTGACTGTAGTACTTTTACTTGTACTTGAGTCAAATTTAGCGAGGGGTATCTGTACTAAAGCTGTGTACTCTGTCCGCCTCTGATGCTAACACACAGCCGTCTCAAATATTAAAGTCATCCATGGACAACACAATACCACAATATGGTTTCTTTCCAGAAGATGGCAGTGTCTAACCACAAGAGAACCTCCTCCTTGAGCGGAAAATTAAACACAGCATCATTTAGTGAACATACATGGGATAACACAACTTTTGAATTTGTTGAACTTGACAGTGTAACAGCCAAGCCATTTATCCACGTACAAAATATTTTATTACAAAAAGTACATACAGTACGAGATAAAAAAAAAAACTTTCACTGATACTAAAAACATTTCAACAAAGTTTTTTTTAAAATCAAGAACACATTTCATTTATTACATAAATGCCAATTCAATTAATGTTGTTTAACTATAACAGTGTACAATATTGCTTACTCACAGTTCTGCTGGTTGTGATATGAAATGATATGCCTTCTCGATGCGCTACTGTTGCATAACAATGTCCCTTAACCTACAACATTCATATGCTTTGTGTTTTTCAGTGCAGGTCCGTCGGAGTGATAAGTGAGGAATTACAGACAAAGGAAAATGCATCCATAATTGACATCAGCCTCCTAAATGCAAAGAAAATAGTGTGACTAAATGGCAGGAACTGGTGTCATTTTCATTTGCTGTAATAATCATGTATCAGGTGTGTATTTTACCTGCTCTCACGACCACACATGTCCTCTTACACTCTTCTTCTGTGTCAAAGCGGTTGCGGTTCCCATCACAGCCTCCATACCAGAACTGTGCGCAGGCGTTGGCCTGCCGGTCGTAGTACCATCGGATGTTATAGTCCCGACAAGGGCCCTGATCCAGAAGCAGCTCACACCGGGGGTCCAGAGACACAAACTCTGGACGTAGATTACATTTTAGATTCTGTCTGGTGGGCAATGTCTGAGTATACACTACCGGTCAAAAGTTTTTGATCGGTAAGATTTTTTATGTTTTTAAAAGAAGTCTCTTCTGCTCACCAAGGCTGCAATTATTTGATTAAAAAAACAGTAATATTGTGAAATATTATTACAATTTAAAACAGCGGTTTTCTATGTGAATATATAGTGAAGCGTAATTTATTCCTGCGATCAAAGCTGAATTTACAGCATCAACACTCCAGTCTTCAGTGTCACATGATCCTACAGAAATTATTATAATATGATGCTCAAGAAACATTTATGATTATTATCCATGTTAAACAGTTTAAAAAAAAAAATGTATTTCAGGATTCCTTGATGAATAATAGAAAGTTCAAAAGAACAGAATTGATCTGAAATGGAAAGCTTTTGTAACATTAATCACTACCATTCAAAAGTTTGGGGTCAGTAAGAATATATTTTTTATTTTTGGGGGAAAGAAATTAAAAGTACTTTTATTCATAAAGGATGAGTTAAATTGATCAAAAGTTACAGTAAAGACGTTTATAATGTTAGAAAAGATTATATTTGAAATAAATGCTGTTCTTTTGAACTTTCTATTCATCATAGAATTTCGGGGGGGGGAAATGATCCACGACTGTTTTCAACATTGAAAATAAAAATGTATGTTTTTTGAGCATAAAATCAGCATATTAGAATGATTTCTGAAGGATCATGTGACACTGAAAACTGATGTGTCATCAGCAACAGTAATGATGTTTTAAAAATGTCTTTACTGTTACTTTTGACCAATATAATGCATCCTTGCTGAATAAATTAAACTGAAAAAAAAAATATATATATTTATTATAATATATATATATATATATATATATATATTAGGGCTGTGCAAAAATTAATTGCGATTAATCGCATCCAAAATAAAAGTCTGTGTTTACATAATATATTTGTATGTGCTGTATATAATTATTTTGTATATATAAATACACACACATGCATGTATATATTTAACAAAATGTGTTATTCATATATAAAATATTTATATTTATATAATATAGATTATGTATTTATATATATATATATACAGAATTTAAGCACAAATATTTCTTAAATATATACATGCATGCATAGGTATTTATATATACAAAATAATTATACACAGCACACACAAATATATTATGCAAACACAGACTTTTATTTTGGATGCGATTAATTTTTTTAATATATATATATATATATATATATATATATATATATATATATATATATAAAAAAAAATATATATATATATATATATATATATATAAAAATGTTGCTGACTCCAAACTTATGTGTATTTTGTATTGTATTAGTGAGTGTGTCATGCGTTCACCTCTAGGTAACGGTGGTCGTGGCGCTGGTATATACAGCACTGAGGATGATGACGAGTTCACAGTTGTTGATGATGATGTCCCTGATGAAGGTCTGATATTTGTGGATGTCCCAGTGATTGCTGGTGTATCTCCTCTACCGCTGCTCAGTTCGGAAGTGTTTATGTCTGGTGTCTCAGTTGCACGCTCAGCCACCTAAGAGCACACACACACACACACACACACACAAAATTAGACCACAAATATAAAAATCCATTCATTATCTTAAGTGTACCAACCTCACTAATGTCTGGACCAAGCGTTTCTCCCTTCCTGCGCTCTTGCGTAACAGTGTTCATCCCAGATTGTGATCCCTTGTTGTCTCTGTTCCCTTCATTTATGTTGGTGCCAGAATTATACCCGCCGTTCCCATTGATGCGGTTGCCATTAAATCCATATCCGTTATCAAAACCATTAATGCGACTGAAGATGAGTGCTCCGTTCTCATCCTCACAAAGCTGACTGACTAGTTTGGACTCCAGAGCTGTTTGAGGGACAATTAAAGAGGGGAAAAACGGGAAATATGTTATACGTTTACTTTAATTTTAAAGGAGTAGTTCACTTTTAAAAAACTTTTGCTGATAATTTACTCACCCCCATGTCATCCAAGATGTCCACGTCTTTCTTTCTTCAGTTGAAAAGAAATGAAGGTTTTTGATGAAAACATTCCAGGATTTTTCTCCATATAATGGACTTCAATGGGAACCAAACGGTTCAAGGTCCAAAAGACAGTTTCAGTGCAAACTGTTCAAAGGGCTTTAAACGATTCCAGACGATGAATAAGAGTCTTATCAAGAGAAACAATCGCTCATTTAAAAAAAAATAAAGTTTAAGTTTTATAAGCTCAAATGGTCGCCTTGCTCTGTTCTGTGATGAGCGTTCGTGACTCTCCTGTTCGAACTCGTTCATCAAAATGAACAAATCTTTTCCTGAGTCAACTCATTCATTTCATTCGTTGAATGAACCAAATGACACGAAAAAAGATTAGTTCATTTTGATCATTTTTAAAGTCCTTTGAACAGTTTGCGATTTGCACTGAAACTGTCTTTTGGACCTTGAGCCGTTTGGTTCCCATTGAAGTCCATTATATGGAGAAAATCCTGGAATGTTTTCATCAAAAACCTTAATTTCTTTTCGACTGAAGAAAGAAAGACATGGACATCTTGGATGACATGGGGGTGAGTAAATTATCAACAAAAGTTCACTACTATTCAGGACATTTCACAAATAATTAAAAAAATGGCAAGTAACACATTGAATTAAACATGAAATGTTAAAGTATAAAGAATTAAATCATATTTTCCAGTAAAACATACTCCAAAAATCTTCGTTATATTTACAACTTTGAAAAATTATATATATATATATATATATATATATTTCCTCATGTCAACAACCCTGTGTGCAAACAGTGTAAACATTCAGCAGTTTTTAAAAGTACGTGTTTAAATCTAAAAATGAATAATAATGATACATAATGTACTGGCAATGAAACTATGAATGATTCTCACATAATTCTGCACCACATGACCTCTCTATTGTAAATGTTTAATTTAGGAAGTGCAGTTATTATCTTAATATTAAAGTTTATTTAAGTGTGTGTGTAAAATGTATGAACTTGTTAGCAGTGCAATCAAATCATAATTAAAAATAAAACAAGATGTAGAAAAATAAAAATTCTCATATGCACAAATGCACATATTGACGGCAGACTCGCACATCACCCATACGTCCAGTATTCAAAGGTGTGTACCTTCCCATCACCAGAGAAGTACTTTCATACAGTTGAAGTACGTGAACAGGCACTCAGCCTCGAGCTTGCTGTATCTATTACCTGGCAGGGTGTTGAAGTCGTCTATGTAGTACATGTGCTCAGTGTCAGGGTCCGACGCGATGAGGTTAAGCTCCTGGAGAAACTCTTCCTGTGTCGGATCACTAATGTTAACAATCCCCAGAGCGTACATCTCGATGTTGGCTGCGTGCGCCTCTCTAACGGAGATCTCCAGCTTCACAGGCTCACGTTTATCTGTCTGCCCGTCAGTGATGACAATGGCGACCTTCCTCACACCCGTCCTCGCGCTGTAAAACGCTTCTTGAGTTGCTTTGCGGATGGCAGAGCCGGTGTACGTGCCCTCGCCCATGTAGGGAACCCTGCGTATGGCTTGTTTAACATCTTCTTTGGTCATGTAGCGAGCGAGGTTGAACTCAAGCTTGACCTCAAGGCTGTAACAAACGAGGCCGACTCGAGTGGCATTACGTCCCACAGTGAGTCTGTCCACCAGTGCGGCCACAAAGTCCTTTATGATCTCGAAGTTTTCAGGCCCAACGCTCTCAGAGCTGTCAATCACAAACACCAGCTCCATCGGACGCTCTTTACATTTGACTCCACAGCCTGAGAGACAGTACAGTTTATTTCAACAACTTAACAATGATTAATTAAATTAAAACGGAAATAAAAATAAATTTAACCTAATATCAATATTTAAAAAAAAAATAATACAATGATTAATTAAATTAAAACTGAAACAAAAATAAATTTAACCTAATATCAATATTTAAAAAAAACAAATACAATGATTAATTAAATTAAAACTGAAATAAAAATAAATTTAACCTAATATCAATATTTAAAAAAAAACTAATACAATGATTAATTAAATTAAAACTGAAATAAAAATAAATTTAACCTAATATCAATATTTAAAAAAACAATACAATGATTAATTAAATTAAAACTGAAATAAAAATAAATTTAACCTAATATCAATATTTTTAAAAAAAACCTAATACAATGATTAATTAAATTAAAACTGAAATAAAAATAAATTTAACCTAATATCAATATTTAAAAAAAACAATACAATGATTAATTAAATTAAAACTGAAATAAAAATAAATTTAACCTAATATCAATATTTAAAAAAAACAATACAATGATTAATTAAATTAAAACTGAAATAAAAATAAATTTAACCTAATATCAATATTTTTAAAAAAACCTAATACAATGATTAATTAAATTAAAACTGAAATAAAAATAAATTTAACCTAATATCAATATTTAAAAAAAACAATACAATGATTAATTAAATTAAAACTGAAATAAAAATAAATTTAACCTAATATCAATATTTTTTTTAAAAACTAATACAATGATTAATTAAATTAAAACTGAAATAAAAATAAATTTAACCTAATATCAATATTTCAAAAAAAACAACTAATACAATGACAAAAGCACATTTGTATTTAGAGAAAAGAAAATTAACACGAAAACTAAAAATAATAAAACTACAAGCTAATTCAAAATACTAATACAAATTTTAGTCTGATTCAAATAGAAACATTGGAATAATGTTTCACAATATTTCAGGTTTTACTGAAATTTTCATCAAATAAATGCAGCCTTGGTGAGCAGAAGAATCTTCTTTCAAAACTATCAAAATAATCTTCCTGACCCCAAACATTTGAGCGTTACATAAAGCAGCCTATTACGTTGTATATTTAAGTGTAATGTGAGATGTAACATACCACAAATCTCCCTGATCATTCTGATGATGTCATCCCTCTAAAAACAAACATCATATTTGAATGAGTGAAACACACACAGTGTGTTTTGAATATTGTAGTATGATGTGAAAGACGTACCGTTAGCCCAGAGTCTCCTTTGATTCCTGGTCTACCCTAAAAAAGTGAATTATAATTAATGACACTACTGATTTGTTTTTATAAACATCATTTTGCCTCTCTTTTACTCAGCCGAAATAGTAAATGATGACTATATGGCTTGGTTCCAGTCTACTATATTTAGACTGCATCCTAAATGAAACAGAAACTCATGCATACAGTGTAACATTGAGGTTAGTTTACTAACTGTTTGTCCAGGAACGCCAGAATCTCCCATGTCACCTTTGACTCCCTTTATCCCTCTCTCGCCCTGAGCTCCACGATCCCCCTGAGAAACGCGAATAGACCTCACATTACAATATACGAATATTCAATCGTGTAAAACAGGTTATATGACAAAATCTGAGACCTTTGACCCCGGGATTCCTTCTCCAAGAGGTCCCCTTGGCCCGGTTACACCTTGCGACCCCTGATCTCCCTGTTATAGAGTATATAAGATTTAAGATGCGCTTAGATTATGGCAAGCCGTTTTAGCTTTTATTCATTTCCAGAATATGAATTCTTGATATCAACAATTGAATTCTTGATATCAAAAATGTAATTGTTGATATCAACAATTGAATTGTTGATATCTGTAATTGTATTTTCACTAGTGACAACCATTCAAAATGAATTGTTGATATCAAGAATTGAATTTTTGATATCAATAATTACATTGTTATTAGTACAAATGCAAATTCCTGATCTCAATAATCAAATTGTCACTAGTTGAAATGTCTATTCTTGATATCAACAATTCAATTGTTACTAGTAAAAATGATCCATTTTGATATCTGAAAATGTATTTCTGATATCAATATTATTTCAGATATCTAAAATGGCTTTCTTACTAGTAACACTCACATTCATTATATCAGAAATTAAACCTCAGGTGCTCTGACCGAAAAATTTTCTGTTTTGAATTTCTAAAATTCACAGCTTCATCAGAATGTTACGAAACTTGGTGACTTTTATGGCATTATGTATGTGAACACACAAAAAAATTGAGGTCATGATCTGAGCATGCTAAGTGGTCTTAAAAAATAATCACACTTGTGGTCTTCCGTCAAAAATGAACCCCATAGGAAATGAATGGGAAATTGACAAAAACACAAAAATTCACAAATTTTTATTTATTTTTTTAACAATTTTATTTAATAAAAAATCGTTTTTGAGATTGTTTCAACTATATATACAACCCCCCCCCCCCCCCCCCCCAAAAAAAAAAAAAAAAAATGTGTTCATAAACATCTGGGGAATTCACATGCCTCTCCATAGAGACCTGTACATGCCATCTAGTGGTTGCACCATGATTCTATGTTTTTTCTCTATACTGTAACGAGATGGTGCTAATTTTCTTCAAAAGATATTTTTTTTCTGAAAGCCTAGACTCTATATTAAACTAAAATACTGCATTAATAATTTTTTGAAACTAATAATATATATACAGAAAAATATATATATATTTACATGGCAAAAATAGACCATAAATATTAATAAATTCAATCAAATTGTCTCAAAATACAAAATTACAAAGAATAAATATTATAGAACAAAAATAAATTGCATTGGTTTTACTGGGATGGAGGAAATTTAATTTTTAGGTGTCCGGTCACTTTTGACCGGGAAGATAACAAGTGTGACTCCGAAACAAAGAGCATCTGAGGGTTAAAACATTGTTACTAGTAGCAATTTAATTGTGAATATATCAAGAATAAACATTTCAACTAGTAACAATTGAATTCTTGATATCAAAAATAAAGGTTTTTACAAGTAATAATTGTATTTCTGATATATGAAATTGGAATTTCAACTAGTAAGAAATCAATTCTTGATATCATTGGTTTTGAATGGCAGCCTATGGTGACATTTCACTAGTGAAAATACAATTGTTGATATCAAGAATTCAATTTTGGATATCAAGAATTACATTTTTGACATCAAGAATTCATATCCTGGAAATGAATAAAAGCTAAAACGGCTTGCCATGCTTAGGTTTAGATATAGATATGTGTTCAACTCTTTATGAAGCCAGTGTCTCACTTTTGGACCCTGTATGCCTTGTCCTGGTGGTCCAGTTGGCCCAGGAGGTCCTGGTCTTCCCATGATGCCCTGAGAGAGAGTATTCAGCAGAAATCAAAAGTTAAAACACATTCATGCAAAGATAAAAGCAGAAGTCGGACATCTGGAATGACGTTTATGTTACTGGATTACATTATCTGGAATTGTTGGACATATGTAAAAGATTTGAAGCAGGTGCATGTTGTGAATATACGATCATGGATACAGTACTATGATAAATGTGGCGTTAAGATGATGGTACATTTGAGGAATGGGATGTATTCCAAAGACAGTTTTTATTCGTGTGCTTTGGCATATACAGCGTCTCCAAAAAGGTATTTAGATACTTAAGACACACTTAAAAAATGTCTGAATATTATTGCATTAGATGACAAAACGAAGAAAGTGGCATTTAAATTACTTATTACAACTTATCTCTATTAATAATGAGAAAAGCACCATTTACATTTGTTTGCAGATTGCACTTTAATATTTTGTACTATAAAATATAAATGATATACAGCTCAAATATTGGTGGTTGATAATATATATTTTTAATGTTTTTTTTTTATAATATATATTTTTTTATATTTTTAAAGTGTCTTCAGCCTCACCAAGGCTGAATTTATTTGATGAAAAATACAGTAAAAACTGCAATTTAAAATAAGTATTTTCTATGTGAATATATATAAATTCTGTGATGTAAAGCTGTATTTCCAGCATCATTACTCCAGTCTAGGGTTGTAACGGTATACCGGTATGACGGTTTATCGCGATATTGACATGTACGATTATCATATCGTGCACATTTGCTTATCCGCGGTAAAAAAAAAAAAAAAAAACAGAATTCACCTGCACTGCCGCATGCAACTTCTTTCAGCTTGACTGCTTACTCCATATCCGTACAGCGCTGAAAATGTCCGAGACAGAGGCTGCGAATCTCTATCTCCCGCCAAAAAAATAAAAAATAAAATCTGCAGAATGGGAATATTTTGTAACTTATATCCGAAAAACGATCGTGATGTTGTCCTTGAAGATGGATATCCAGTTTGCAAGATATGTGGACGAAGAGTGGCTGCAAAAGGAGTAAACACGTCGAACATGTTCTCCCATATTTAGGAACACCATCCCTCCGTGAAGATAAAGGTTATTCATAACTTTTATAACTTAAGGCCATATTATTTCTGTCATGCTGAGGGAATCCCGGTCTGTCAAAAAGACGCACACATGCGTCTTTTTGCGTTACAAAACAGATGCCACGTAAAATGTGCGATTTAAAAAGATAGATGGATAAATAAAGCAAAATATATGCAGTAGCCTAAATCAAATCGCGATGTGCGTGTCTGTGAATATACAACGCAAAAAGACTGGTGTGCAAGCCCCTTCAGCGTGTCTCTGAATGAGCAGCGCCGTTTCGTCTAGTAGATCTAGTACACACTCAAGTACGCATGACGCTCATGGTTTTTAAAGCTGTCTCAGCCACTACGAAGACGTGAACACATGAACATATCTAGACAGAGAACACTTAATGTGCACTTTATAATTATTTTTTTAAAGAATAATCATCAAATACACTGACTGAAACTCATAGGTGTTCAGTAGGTGTTAACGCGGGGTTAAATGTAACACGGACCGTTTACACAGTTCTTCAGGATCAAGCAGGCTGTCTTTCCGCTATTTTTCTCTTGCTGCCAGAAGACGGTCTCCCGCGAATTTGCGGAAAGTTTTGATTATATTTCGTGAAGATACTGGACAAAGAGTGTTTTGACACCATGAAAGTAATTTTTTTCATCATAGGTTTTTTTCGGTTTCTGAGTTGGGTGTATACGTTTCCAAATCTAACTTTATATTGCCTTAATCACCGTCTTGTTGGCTCAAACATAGCACCGTTTTGAAACATGTCAGCAATTCCTAGCGACTGTTAGCTAGGTTTAAAATATGTAATACACAGCGGGGTTAATTCTAACAGAGTGGTACAACTAAGCCTCCAAGTGTACAATGATAATCAAATGAAAATGGAGCCACACAACTTTTCAGGTTTGAGTATACATTTAACTTTGTTAGACGTTCACAAACAATGTTGGGATTTAAAATGTTCTATGAATGATAACTTGTTTATTTATTAAAAATATGGCCTGTTATTAATGCAATAAACCCTTTAAATTTTTATTTTAAGCTAATTTGTATTATCATTACTGTTATTATTAATAATAATAATAATTGTACATCATGCAGCTGCCACACACAAATCTAATTTAATTGCAATTACAATATTTATAATTTTATTTATTATTATTTATTGCAAAACTATGCAGCCCTTTTCTATGTCTCTATCCATGATATTGATCCATAATAGAAGGATGATTGGATGAGGGATATGTATGGATATCTGTCTATACAGATGCACAAACAATATCAAACTATACAAATAAAATAGTACTGAATTATGTGTGTTACACACAAGTGTTACAACTAACCCCTCTCTCTGTTACAATTAACCCCGCATATGGGGTAAGTTGTAACATTTGCACTTCTGTCACTTTCAGTCCAACTGTACGAAAATGGTAGGTCCTAGAAAAAAAACTTTAAGTGTTCATTTGTAGCAGAGATGTGCATGTTGCTTGTGTAAAAAAAAGTATTAATCTAACCTAATTATTTTTTAATTAATTGAGCCAAAAGCAAAAAGCGTTAGGTTGTGCCCCGCTCTCCCCTACAACCTGGAAAAAAAAAGTTTGGTTTAGCCTATGATTAAAATATATTACTATTGTGTATAGTTTTTTTGTCCATGTTTTAATTTATTAAACTTCTCTTGTGTAGACAAACTAAAGTTGTTACATTTTATCTGATTGCATTCTCAAAAATACATTTTGTATTCAATCACAGAATCCAGATCAGTTATTTCAGACAACCCAGAATTTCTGAGGAAATAAATATACATTTCATAAAGACTCTATTGAAAAAACCTTTGTTACAATAAACCATGTTCAACCAAAAACAATATCTGTTTTTATTCATTTAAGGGCCATTGTAGCTGATGCTGATTATAATAATGATAGTTTTAATATCGTATACCGTGAAACCGTGAAACCGTGATATTTTCTGAGACGATTATCATACCGTGAAAATCTCATACCGTTGCAACCCTACTCCAGTCTTCAGTGTCAAAATGATCCTTCAGAAATCATTCTCATATGATGATTTTTTGACGAAACATTTATTATTATCATCAATGTTGAAAACAGTTGCTTTATATTAATATTATTATATTTTTTAATGTCTTTCTTTACTTTCACTTTGATGCAATTTAATGTGTCCTTGCTTAATAAAGGCATTTATTTCTTTAAAAAAAAAATCGTACTGACCCAAACTTTTTAATGATAGTGTAAACATTACATTAATATTGAATTAATATTTTCATATTTTAAATTAATTTGACTTGTTTAATTATACTGTCTGCATCTTACTCATCGAATTTAGAAACTTTATGGCACAATGGGAGAATATCTAATGCAATAATGTGTTAAATCAAGACTAAGAAGGGCTGAAAGAGTTTGACGAGGGCTAACACATCATCACTATCAGACTGTGCTTGATGACGTACAGGTGGTCCTTGCAGTCCTTCCCCAGGAGGTCCAGGTTGGCCCGGTAAACCTCTGAAGCCAACTTCACCCTGAGACACGGTCATGATAAAATATCGGTGTTTACACACTATATGTCCATTATATTCATATATATATGATCTGCTTCAGGGTGACGCATAACCATCCTACCTTTGGTCCTGGTATCCCGATGCCCTCTTGACCATTTTCTCCTGGAAGACCAGGGAGACCGGGAGGCCCCTGAAAAGGAAGCCAACAAACAAATGACACACACAACAACAACCAAATACAGCCTCATGCTGACTAATGAAGATTTCTATGATGCCATGAACATGAAAGGGATTTTAATAGGATTTTGTGGATGTTTTACGTACTGAGGGACCAGGATAGCCGTCACCTTTAGGGCCGCTTAGACCGACAGGACCAGGAACACCGCGATCACCCTGGGAAACAAAGCATGAGCTATCCAACCAATTTTGATCATTTTAATAACGTCTTTTTCACAATTTTAACAATAAATAAGAATTAAATGTACCTTTGGTCCAGGAAGTCCATACCCCGTCTCTCCTGCTAAACCAGGTGAACCTGAGGGGCCTGGGTCACCCTACAATGAGACATTATAGTGTTATTTGAAAGATTTCCTACTATAGATTCACATTCATCCAAGGTCAAAAACGCTTCAATTTTCTCATAATAGGCATTGCACATCATGTCAATTCTTAAGAGTCTAAAAATTGTCTGATCGATGAGTTAGTCTCTCTAAACCCCTCTTTTATGAGAGTCTGCTCTGCTCTGATTGGTTAGACAGCTCAACATGTTATGGTTGGTCGACGTGTTCGAAAATAAATGAAACTAAACTAAAAATGACCATATCTGAATTTCAGCTCCGGAGGCTTCCTCAGAGCTTGATGCACAGTGATATGAACAGTAACAATGCCATTGTTCTTTCCATATCAATTATCCTTTTAAAGTTCATTAGCAGCTGAAAACTTGGTCTTCTCAGCTACAACTAATGTTTTGAGGATCAAAGTTGACATTATTTGCAGGCAGCCAATGAAGACCATAGGCTGGCATTATGCAAATTTGTTACATTGTTACGTAGTTTTGTTACAGGAAGTGAGACTGGAATTGATGCTGACTCGTTTCAGCAGTTCAGAATCGATCGTTTCTTTTAGGAGACAATACATTTATTTGTCGTGCACTTTTATCTTTAAAACTTTGCAGACCTGGCTTTTGCATTCACAAACAGCTCAATTACACACTACATGAAAGGTAAAATTCAAAAAGCAGATATAATTGGGCACTTTAAAGTCACCAAGATATCACAATTTGATATCTTCAAAATCATATTAGTATGAATCAGTGATGCGCGGGTCAATGTATAAACAACCCGCAACCGACCGACGTTTTCAGCTACCCGCCCGCAACTCGGACCGCAAAAAAAGTAAAAAAAAAAACATTGTACCCGACCCGCTTCCTGACCGCATTTTTTTAAAGTAGTAAATGCTCATCGGAGCGTTATTGGGCCATACAGACGTGTAACAACACAGCATCGCAAGAAGACGTAGGCCTACACATAACAAAGGCAAAGCCAGCACTTTGGTCATCATCTTTCATTATTTCAGCAAATGTCTCCCACACTTTTACTCTTTCTATTTGTGTATTTGCGGAGCTTCCACTCCCCAGTCTTCACCTTTTCTCTTGCCGCCTCCATCTCTCTGCAGACTGTAGTGATCATCGTAGACACGGCCGGTTCGTGAACAAATCGTTCTTTTGAACCGGTTCTTTTTAGTGAACCGGTCGAACCAGTACACTCGAACTGAATCGTTCGAAACAGTTCGCGTCTTGCGTCAGTGCTGATCCACAAGTTACTAAAGTTACTCACTTTCAGACATGCCTGACAGTCGCCTCCGAATCGAAATAAATCAATATCCTGAATTATATTTTACTCCAGTAACTCCAACAGTTCACTGAACCGAGACATGTTGCTGCCACTGTTGAGAGAAGTGATGAGCACGAGCAGCTGATACTGCGTATACCGAACGCACAGGGACAGCGGTTCTCGAATCACTAGTATAGAACCGAGAACTGTTTAGACTGAGCTCGTGTGTTATCTTCGTGCCAGTTATTCAGCCAATAATGTGTAGGGCTGTATATTTCATCAAAAACTGTGTCTAGTACTATATACAAATGTTTAATTGGCATCTTTTTTCAAACGACCCGACCGACCGCGACCCGAATATCATTAAAAACATTTTTGGATGACCCGTAACTGCGGGTAACCGCGGGTGACCGCAGGCACCCGCTCATTTCGGATCAACCCGCGCATCACTGGTATGAATCTATTGGCCGTACGGTTTTCTATAAGCTAGTGAGCTCCAAAACAATCACAAAATTTGCATTTAGAGTATATAAGCATTCAAAACCTGCGGTTTATATTTTGATGACATCACTTGCACTTCAGCTTCTGATTAGATTTTCCGTCCAATCACTGCTCTCCAGATTCTGAAGCCCCGCCCCCTACACTACAAATTGACGCTGAAGCTGTGGGTAAAATCGGACACTTGTTCACACAATTACTATTTTGAATGTAAAATAATGCACTATATATGCACATATGCACTATATAATGACACATAAATGCGCTATATAATACCGAGCAGTGATATAAACAAAAGACTATTGGCCATTTTAAATAGCCAATAGGAGGTGGAGGAGGTGCTTGATATGTCCCGACATACTGTGTATTTGATAGGTTTTCTGTATACGTGTATAATATATATATATATAGTGGGGTCTTTAAATTTTCTTTGTTTTATAGTGCAAATACCAAAACATTTTTTTAAAGCGTTTACTTTTGGTCCTGGTATTGAGCGTCCCGGTGGTCCAGGTAAACCCAGTCGCCCAGGGGTGCCAGGCTCTCCCTACAAAGACATTAATAAAAAACAGAATGAAAATGATTTTAGTTACTTTTACCCTCAAACTCATTTTGTATTATATAATACACCAAAAGACAAAATATTCCAGATTCACTGATCTCACTGACCTTTGACCCTGAGGGTCCAGCTATTCCTGATGGCCCTGCTAACCCACGGATCCCCCGCTGACCCGGATCCCCCTGCACAACGTCACATTAACAAAACACTACATCAATCAGCATCAAGCTGCTGTTCACAGTAAAACACCATATTATTACAAGAACACACAATCATTTTCAATTCATGAAGTCTTTAACTCTGTAAAGCTTAACATATTAAATAAAAGTCCATATTAAACAGTTGTTGAACCTTTAGACAAAAAAACAAACAAAAAGTTTGCATGTGTGTTTTTTGTTGTGCGTCATATTTGATACATCAAACTTTTATAGCTCATATAGCATGTGACCAAAAAGTAAGATAAAATTATGCTAATGAATTTTATAACAGTTTAGCAGACTACTTACATAAAATGCATTTAAATATCAGATGCCATTCAATATTCCCAATAATATGTCTCGGGTAAAATTATATTTAAATGATTAGTTTTATGATCAAAGCTCTATAGTTTGAATTGTGGAGGGCAAATCATATAATGCAATGCAATTATAAACAAATAAAAGTTCATTAAAAGCCTGATAGACCATATCTGATAATCAAATTTTACCATGATGTTTCTAAATGATATATAGATAATCAAGTAAGCCAAAGTCCAGTCCAGTGTGCTTTCATCTTGAAACATTACAAACAATATCAAAGATTTCACTGCAAAAAAGACAAGTGAACCACAACCTGAAGGTGGACATTTTTTGTAGTTTGTGTGATCATCCTGATAATTTAGAAGCCATAGAAATTTGCACATTAAATATGATACAGTAGGCTTTATAGGGTCAAGATGATTTTAGAAAGCTAAACACATGATAAAAGTGAAAGAGATACCTTTTCACCCTGGATGCCCACTCCTGCAGCTCCTTCAGGGCCCCTCGACCCAGAGGCTCCTGGTTCTCCCTGAAATGCAAACAGAGAAACAACAATGAGTGTCCTTTTCCTGATGTGTTGATGCTGAGCAAGTGTCTCAGTGACTAACGTACCTTCTGTCCTGGAGCTCCATCTTCCCCAGGTAATCCTGGTAATCCTGAAAACCCTGGAGCTCCAGGTTCCCCCTGCACATGGATATAGACAATACTTTAAAATGCAGGATCATTAGGAGTTGAGCATACACATATATACACTGTAAAAGCTACATTCTACATATTATATCTATATATTTTATCTACATCTTTTTTTATCTTTTAACTACATTCTTAAATCAATGTCTTCAATGTCTTGCTTTAAAGGGGCACTTGGCAATTCTAGTCATTTCTTCGCTGATTTTCACTTTTGTTGCCAAATGTTTTCTCATCAGCGCCCCCTACAGTTGTGTGGCGTATATTTTCACAACAAACTCACTTGCGGCACCTTCGTCCTGCTTTCTACCGCTGCTGATGTTCATTTGTTATTATTGGAGCTGGCCAACTTTATCGTGTGGAGCTGTGTCTACCGAGTGGGTAATACATCATACACAGTATCCTATCATAGAATTATGTCGAATTGCCATAAAAAAGTTTGTGTTTAACACTCGTTTTCACTCATTCTCGCTTCTCACCAACTTATCGGGACGTTAGTCTTCATGTTGCAAGGTTGGTTTTCGCCTGTGGACGCTGGGGGAGCAGTGAAAGCCATTTTCACTGGAATAGGTTATTTAACCCTCCAAATGATTTCTAAACAGTTTTATTAAAGGGGTGATGAACTGAGAAATCTAATTTTCCTTGAACTATTATACTATATAATATAACAACATATATAATACATCATATTATAAGAATATCCTGTAAGTTTCAGAACTGAAAACATCCTTGTTACACTCTTGTTACACTCTAAGGTTCTATATAGAACATTAAAAGGTTCTATCAGCGCTACGTATTTGGAACCCCTAAAAAAAGGTTCTATACACTCTTAAAAAAAGGCTTCCTCTGGGTTCTATATAGAACCCTAGGGTTCCATACTTGGCCAATAGAACCTTTTACCAAAAAAAATAAAAATGGTTCTATATAGAACCATTTTGGAGTTCCATATATGAAGCGGGGGATGGAACCATTTTTGGTTCTAAATAGAACCATTTCTTCTAAGAGTGTAGTCCAATAAAAGCTTTTATTGACAACAGGCTCAGCAGACGACTCGTTTTTCAAAGTGGGGAACTATGACGTCAAAGAGGATAAAACCCCACCCCCGCAGAAGAAGATCAACGCCTGCTTCAACACGGCCGGTTTAGCCCCGCCCACCGATTCGTGCATTACACGCATAGCTAAATAACATAGATGCCTACCTCGTGATGACAAACCGGATCGAGATACCGAGCAATACAAAATATTGTGCAGCGCCTGATTGTGGAAGAAGACAGACGCCGCATAAGCTTCCTCTGGATTCCAATAGGACTGCATGGATACACTTTATTTTAATGACGTTCAGCTGATGTGGTTCGCTTCATTTCACTGAGGATTGTTTTGTAAACAAGACTGGATTTGTAGACCGATTAAGAGTAAAGAACGTGCTGTGCCGTCTATATTGGATCTGACAGGAATTGTGCAACACACGGACTCTGGGTCGATAATTCTGGTTGCCATTTTACAACATTGGACGTTTTCCAAACAATTTCCCCCAGTGCACGCGACGGGTGAGTTGAAACTCATTAAAATATGCAAAACTGTTATCCACTCACAATAGTGGGCGTTTACTTCCAAGTCTTCAGTGCGAGATGCCCATAAAAACCGAGCGTTTTTCAGCTAGGCTCGAAACTAGAGTAGAAAATAGCCTATTACTTATTCATTTTGATGTTTTTGAATGCAAAAACCAAGCGAACGTCATAAGTTGACCTCAAACAACAATATAATAAAATTCAAAGAGCCAGTTTATGACCCCTTTAAGTCGAAATAGTTGCCAAGTTCCCCCTAAAATCTCTTCTAAAAAAACCCTTTTATGTCCTTTAACACCAGAAGTTGCAATTTTGTTCATATATTTTTTTAAGGCTTGGCTTTTTCCATATGCGTTTTTTCTTAATTTGCTTTATATTGCATTTTATGTTTAGTATTTTACTCTGTTATGTAGTTATGTATTGTGCGTTCTGTTTTTGTATATTCTTCTGTACAGCACTTTGGTCGTTTGATAATTATAGTTTGATTTGATTAATGTCCATATGCAAAAATAAATGTTTCCGTATTGATTCCAGATTTAATAGTAAAGAGAAGGAAACGTACTTTTGCTCCCGGTTCTCCTGCTCCTCTGTCTCCTGGTGCACCACTCTCACCTGGTAAACCTTGGTCACCCTTTAAGAGCACATTTGCAAACATACAGACGTTTCCATATGTTATCAAATAACGTTTATCCAGGACCTAATGCTATTTGGCGACTGTGTTTATTGCATGATGGGAATAGCACTCTTGCCTTTGATCCCGGGTAGCCCTCACCCGATGGGCCTCTGCTTCCCGGGGGTCCACGTGGTCCTTCCACACCCTGAAATAACAATTCTTGCATTCTTGGCTGTGGATATATAAAATATGTTTTTCATGCCATCATGCACAGATCATAGGTTTGTCAGCACCTTCTGTCCTTGGATCCCTTCTCCAGGAAGCCCAACTGGACCTTGAAGCCCAGGAGGACCAACATCACCCTGAAGGGAATAAACACAAATATATTGTCACTTGCCTAGCATAAGAAAATGTATCATCTCATGTACAATCTAGTTATTAAAATGATTTGGAATGTGTAGTAGATACAACATTGATATTATTCATAAATCTTTCCCACAGGCTGAAAACTGACTGCACTGCATGCTGTGACATGTTTCTCCATACATGCACAAATAGGGCTTTAATAATGCAAATTGTGCAAATAAGAAGAGCTGGGCGATATGATGGAATTTGCTACGTTGTGTATATTGTTTATTATAGGAGTAGTACAGCACTATTGACACTTTAGTGATGAAATGCATGAATAAAACAAAGATTGGGATGTACTTGATGTTAAAAAAAAATATTAAGCGCATTTTGTTGCGAAAAAGAACTGATAAAGTGCAGGCATAGAAAGATCCCTCTCTCAGAGAGCGATCACGAATTTGGGACATCCTCGATGTTAAAAATAGTTATTAAGTGCAATATGCTGTGAAAAAGACCTGAACTGAGTGAAAGAACTGAAAAAATGTTATGTGGAGTACTCATGTAAACACAGCCGATTATATCTCAAGTGAAAGTAACCGGATGTGTCTCAGTATAATGGATCTGTGCAATCGGCCTTAAAGTGACAGTAGTCTAATACAGCTGCTGCACTGTGTGACATTAATGTTCAACAAACAAGAGAAAATCACTCACTGCTCTTGACTGAATAACTTTTGTAGCTTTAATTAGAATACATTTATATTTAATTCATACAGTTAAGACTATGCAGTATTTAATTTTTACATTTGATTATTCATTTTCTGTACTATTTCTAACATCAATTGTACCTGAAAAACTTAATTTGTTTCATTTTTATTTTGGTTATATTGAATTTGTCATATTGTTTGTAAATTGCATTTAAATAACAAAATAAAAATTGTGAAAATATATTGTTATCGTGAAATACAATTTCCCATATCATGAAATAAGATTTTAGTTACAGTATATCGCCCACCCCTACAAATACATAAAAAACAACTTTTTAGAGCTAAAAACATTTCAAATGTGGATGGATACCGAGAATCCGCATCAGTGTTTTTCGAAAAAAACTAAACTTCTAGCATACAACAGCTTCAGCTTCAGCTATTAAACCTTTATTTAACCAGGGAAATAATCACATTGAGATAAATATCTCATTTACGAGTGAGCCCTGGCCAAAATAGCAGCGCACAATATACATAAAACAGAATACACAACACGCACATGTACGAAAAATAATACAAAATTAAATGTTAAGAGCAAGTGCAGACACATTAAACCCATGCATGAGAGAGAAAGTGATTTAAAGGAATAGTTCACCTAAAAATAAAACTGATGCCATCGATGTGTCATTGAAAACCCATCTATATGTTTTACCTTGTCTCCTTTAATGCCAGGACCTATTGGTCCCCTGGGTCCCTTCAGCCCCTCCAGACCCCTCTCACCCTGTAAAAGACAAATGTTTAAACCATCAAATAATAATTATTTCTGAAATTTACCAGCAATTTCTGAGTTCAAATTGTCTATCAGTGTACCGAGTAGTTGCTACGTGGTTGCTAAGATGTTAATATATATTAATAATGGTTGCCGTAACAAACCACTCATTCTACCCTGTGCCAACACACTTCAACTGGAGCGATAACAAAGCCAAAGTTTGATTCCAAGGTAACACTCACTAAGTGCACTTTAAGTCGCTTTGCATAAAAGCATCTGCCAAATGCATGAATATACAGTATCTGACACACCCTGCATTTTTCACAGGCAGAGTCAAACAACAGCAGGATTGATTATGTTCCATTATTTCATTAAAAAACTGCTGGATCACTCAGGAATATAGACTGAAGTCAAGGTTCAGACATTTCTCTGATATAAACCATGCACACAAGACACTGCTTGCATTAAAAAAAAATTAAACCACCTAAAAGCCTTGATATGACTCATGCACACTGAATCAGAAAAATGATGAAAACACTTAAAAGTGTGTGCAATGATGTGTGTACCTTTGGCCCCGGTAAACCCTCTCCTGTAGGGCCCTTCTCTCCAGGCGAACCCTGCGGCCCCTGTGGCCCCTGTAGAGGTGAAGATGATAGAGTTTAACACTGTGTTGTGTTCAGTGTCGATTGCGCCCCCTAGTGTAAGCATTAAAGCAGCATTATGTTATTTTTGAAATTTTGCTCTTGGGGTCCCCCTACAGTTGGGAAACAGTATTGTCTTCAACTGTCGTAAAATCTGTCATGGTTACACCAGGGAATACACCAGGATTTGTTGACAAGCAATACCCCGAACTCTGCAGAAGGAAGTGCTCACATCATGGTGCGAAAATGTCTTCATCCCAGGTAGACTGGCATATATTTCAGCATGTCATATGAATATAGTGTCATGGATAACGTCAAAAGATCACGTAGCTCACGTTTACAAGCCAGCGTCTTTATAGTAACGTTAGCCTATTGGCTAGTGGCTACTATTTTACATAATGGATATGCTAATTCAATGTTTGTGTGGTAGATAATGGCCGTATCGTCAATATTATAATATCAAACTGCAATGAATCTGCAAATTTAAAAAATCGATTTGCATTACAGCCTGAGGCAAGACACTTTCACCAGAAAAATAAATAACAAACATGACTATCAGCCTGCAGACATATGATATTTATCCTGACCGATTATTTTGTCCATCTAATCATGTACTATTTACTTGCAAGAATGTAGCCCCTACCAAACTCAGTAGTCAGTATACTTTCACGTGCTACGCGGACTGGGGACTTAATTACGTCTTTGTGGAGTAGTATCATGAATTAATGTTTTAAAAAATAGTATTAGTATACAAAAATCACTTGTTCGCTCATTTTGGCGTCCCCCAAACCTTTAGGAGCGAGGACCTCTTGGATCGGTCGGGCACCCCTCCTCCTCCTTTGGCTCACGCCAGCGAGCGAACGCTGGACCAATATTGATCCTCGTCCAGCCTTTTATTTAGCCACTCTCCCTTTTTCTCTTTCTACTGTCCTCCGACAAAACCTTTGGCTTCTTGGTTTTACTTGCTGCTTTAGCCATGACAACATACAGAGGGGGGAAAAAACGCTCGTTGGACTCTCGCATCAGAATTTGGGGAAGTGACGTATGCCATATAGCGTAGAATTTTGTAGTTCTTTTTTTGCTCGGGTTCCTACCCGCTCCCTACAGACACCGTCAGGCTATGGCAGACCTGTCATTCAACCTATTGTAAGTCGATGTACCATCTCAAGGGTTTTGGAAAAATATTAAAAAGGTTGAAAAAGTTACATAGTGCTGCTTTAACAAATTGCACATCTTTACCGGTAGACCCGGCTCGCCAAGCCCAGGAGGCCCGGGAGGACCCATTCTGCCTTGGAACCCCACATCACCCTACAGATTGAGAAAACACACATTATGATCACATTGGGTTCCAGATATCATAGGTTTATATATATATATATAATTCAGGCCAACCTTTGGTCCAGGAAGCCCAGTGCCAGTCTCGCCCTGTACTCCTGGCGGTCCAGGAAAGCCTCTCTCCCCCTGAAGAAGCAGAACCATTCAGAACAACGACAACAGATCCAATATAAGTGTAATCTGCGAACGCAATGCTCTCCACTTATCTCAGACATGCTGAAAAGACCAGATTAGACCGTGATTAATAGTTCAGAGCAATTTTGTAAAAAAATATCAATACTGAAATATCTAAAACATATCTGAAACATTTAAAGTGACAGCAGCCTATTATTCCAACAAAGAGACAAAGAGAAAACCACTTGCTGCTCTTGACTGAAAAACTTTTGTAACTTTAATTAAACCACAGAAAACACCATGTTTATTTCATTTGTCTCTTTATTCTATTGCGTTTATTTGTGCTATCGCTTGCAATTTGTTTATTTATTCTATTACTGACCGTTTATGTGTCTTTTGTAAATTTAGACCAACGATTCAAATAAAGCCTCCCTGTTCTATGTGTAAGCTATTGCAGCCAAATTACCCAAATTATTAAAAAACATAAGATAATGACAAATTATCTGTATGGCGGCATACTGTATATGGCAGTTTTCCCACTGACCACTGCAGATTCCTGTTGGCATTGACAATGTCGCCATAGAACATCTTAGAGTTGAACGTCACGTGTTGTATCACGAAAATATGGTAATTACGACATGTCATGAACACAGAAAATGTTTTAGTCTTTCCCTCCATATTTAAATCCAAATGGCAATTAATCAACATGGAACGGATCCCTGGAAAGTGGAACGGATCTGGATTCAGCCATACTTACTGAATATAAAGTCAGTGTGCTTGTCATCAAGCCTGTGTTAAATAAACACGTGCTGCTTTAAACTCGACTTAACCTTAAGGGAATGTGTCTGCTTTGAATATAAGCATCTGTTAAATGGAAAAATAACAATAACCATGACATTATAAAAAATAATTGCACGATTGTTATATCTGCCAGCATTTGTCACTGGGCAGATGCATTGGGAGTCTTTGAAGACACATGGCTCATGTCAGACACATTGAGCTAAAGACTGCAATTACTGTGTTCACACACATTAGGCAGAACACCTTAAGCTGTCAAAGACAGAAATACTGATTCACACACATGCATTCTCTGTGTGTGCAAGTCCAGACAATAATCTGTTGCTCGGCTAAAACATGACAGCCATCAGCACGTGGAAAAAAGAACATTCCAGAAAAATAATTAAGCTCTGCGTTCTCCTATAGCACACAGATGCATATCAGCACCACAGAGAACTAGATGAGTTTTTTGAGAGTAAGAATTAAAAATATGCTTTAATGTCATTTTTTTTTCCTTGTCAGCACCCTACAAGCTCATACACAGGATTTAAAGGAGTAGTTCACTTTTGAAAAAACTTTTGCTGATAATTTACTCACCCCCATGTCATCCAAGATGTCCATGTCTTTCTTTCTTCAGTTGAAAAGAAATTAAGGATTTGATGAAAACATTCCAGGATTTTTCTCCATATAATGGACTTCAATGGGAACCAAACGGTTCAAGGTCCAAAAGACAGTTTCAGTGCAAACTGCAAACTGTTTAAAGGGCTTTAAACGATTCCAGACGATGAATAAGGGTCTTATCTAGCGAAACGATCACTCATTTAATAAATAAATAACAAAGTTTAAGTTTTATAAGCTCAAATGCTCGCCTTGCTCTGTTCTGTGATGAGCGTTCGTGACTCTCCTGTTTGAACTCGTTCATCAAAATGAACGAATCTTTTTCCGAGTCATTTGGTTCATTCAACGAACGAAACGAACAAATTGACTTTTGACTTTTTGACCATTGACTTTTTGATCGTTTAAAGCCCTTTGAACAGTTTGCAGTTTGTACTGAAACTGTCTTTTGGACCTTGACCCATTTGGTTCCCATTGAAGTCCATTATATGGAGAAAAATCCTGGAATGTTTTCATCAAAAACCTTAATTTCTTTTCGACAGAAGAAAGAAAGACATGGACATCTTGGATGACATGGGGGTGAGTAAATTATCAGCAAAAGTTTTTTAAAAAGTGAACTACTCCTTTAAGTCATCATGCATGAACATGGAAGAATGATTATGGCATTGGGTTGTCCCAAACATTCCCAACATACACTTTTCCACCTGCTATCTGGAAAGTGCTGCTTTAAGGTATTCGAAAGCTGAGATTGTTAAATCCAACTCACTTTTTTGCCTGTTAGGCCCTCTGGTCCAACGTCTCCGTTAGGTCCGGGCAAACCCTGCAGATTGAATACGGTGTAAGATAGAAACAATGCTTGTTTTGCATTTTCACAAATGCAGTTTAAAAGACATACCTGCAGCCCTCGACTTCCTCTGATACCAACAGGACCCTCCGGACCCTTAAAAGAACCAGATTCAGTCAAAATGAAAAGGTAACATGATATTTTGCATGACCTGAAGCGTCACTCACTCGGTCTCCTTTGACTCCTGGTGTTCCACACTCTCCTCGCTCTCCCTAAAAATGTGTTTCATGGTCAGTACCACTTTGTATATACACACACACACAGCATACATTTAAATTGTATTGCAAGTAATTTTCTGAACTTATAGACAAATTTAGTTTGACAGATATCTTTAATATGATGTAGACTCAGAAGACTCTAGTCAGAGCAGTGGTCTTTATTACACATAAATTGTTTTCTGCAAGTCTAATACTACTTTGTTTTGCTTTTCAGACCGGTAAGGAAAATACGTTTTTTTGTCATTTAGTTAGATTTAACACATTTTACATTTATTCAATTAGCAAACATGTTTATCCTCAGTGACTGACAAATGAGACATTTTAAACAAAATTAAATTCCGCATTTGTTATTCCATATAATTGTATATTTATTTCTATATATTAAAGTTAAAAACACAAGAAAAAAAATATTTAGTGCACCATTAAGGATTACAAACAATTGCAAATTTGTTTATAATTACACTTATGCATTTGGTGACGTGACTTTTTTGCATTTCATTTTCTTTGGATTGGATTTCTAACCTATGAAACGGCATTGCTAGCATACATTTGTTTTGTAATATCAGCTGATTTTCGTCTGTGATGCATCATTTTACCTTTTCTCCTTTGTATCCAGGTTTCCCCTAATGATCAGTACAGAACACATGGTGAGAGAGAGCAATTACACAAGTAAATAATCTCAAATTAGAGGGAATTTAGGCCTTGTTTCACCTCTGTCCCGTCTCGTCCAGGAGATCCACTGAAACCGCCCTCTCCCTGCAGGACGTTCAACACATTTTAGATGCTAACATGGGTAAATAATTCACAAATATGAGAGTTGATTAAAGACCACTTTGACCTTTTGTCCTTTAGCTCCTGGACTTCCATCGTCTCCAGGACGACCCTTTTTACCCTGTGGTTCTCAGAGAAAGAGTGTTAACTTACATAAGATTTGCATAAACCGCTAAGACTAGCCGTATAAGTTAGTCATTCAATTGTTTTCTTGAAGACTGTTCATTATTATTATTATTATTTTTTTTTTTTTAGTCGGTTTAGTCAGAATATTTCTTAAAGGTGCATTATGCAACATTTAATGTCAAAAATATCAGTTTTTCTACCCCTTACATGCTTAAACAATCGCCTGATGGGCTGAATGAGCCCTTCTCTGATCACTGCGATTGCCTCTATAACCCTGTACAGTAAAATAAAGAGGGATTCGGGATGGATTTGGGACTGGGCGTGACGTCATGTGCGTTCACGGCGTTTTCCGGCGCTTGCGCAGACTGAAGCGCCCGCGCTCTCAGATCACTTGGACGAGGCTGTGGTTACAAGAGGTAAAAACGATATAAATACTGTTCGTTTTCTCACACAAACCGCTCGTTTCGTGTCTTAGGCCTCCAATGTGTACTTACATTTACGAGTCATTAAATCATGTTTAATTTGGACTTCTCTGTGCATGCTCTTTGAGGTGGTGACCATAGACCTCCATTATATGACTGACAGACAAGAACGGTTTGACCTAAAAACATCAAAATTGAAAATACTGTGGAAACAAAGACCCCTACATCTTGGATGCCCTTGAGGTAAGATAAAACATACCAAAAATTAATTTCAAAGTGAACTATCCCTTTTAGACACAGTCTCAACATAATGGCTATGTTTATGCAACTGGCCCCAAATCATTATGTTGACAGTCTAAGTCTATATAGACATGTTTTTTATTTAACTTGTCGATACAGAATAATTTCTTAATGTTTATGTGCTCCATTCTGGACCTATTAAAAACTATGAATATTCCATACTTATTTAAAAAAGCGATTAAGCATTTCTGTTAACTAAAATATTCTACATTTTTTTCCCCATTATTTATTTTAATGCAATATTTAAAAAAAAAAAAATCTTTTGACCATCATAGGCACATATTTTATGCTGTTTTAATTCTTTTTCCCCTTTATGTTTCTTTTTGGAGATTTACAGATATGACTTTAAATCACAATCACAATAATTAAAGAATTGAAATATTAGGCTGAACCATTTATTTGATCATTTTTCATAGCAGTTCAAATTCTTGCCACTTTAAATCAATCTGGTGGGTGTTTCTCCTCTTTATTAAAAATGTACAGAAACATAAAATCTCTGAGTTTATATTAAATGCATGTGTTTGGCACTTACAGCAGGTCCACTGGGTCCTCGATCTCCTTTCTCACAAGTGCATTTTGGGGAAAGAGGACACTGTTGGAACACACACACACAGCTTTAGTCACAATAATGGCACTAATAAGTGTCCTAAATGAATGTGGTGAGATAAACACTTACCACTTCATTGGCTACCTCAGTCTAGAAGGGAACAAAAGTGACAAAGGTGAATTTACAAGAAAAAAATGCATAAGGAGGAAGACATTTCCAACACATAAATCGTGGCATTTATTGGTCTCAAACATCTAACATAAACTGAAAGGGTTGTGAATGTCTGCAGGCAGTTTGAGATATGCTGTCATCAGCTAGTCAACTCCTTTATTTTTTTTATATTAAACTTAAACATGTAAGTCACTCTAAGCTGTCAAGGCAAGTTCTTGAACATTAGAAGCAACCTCAGAACTACAGAATAAAGCTGAACTAATCACATTTTTACGAGATATTTGATATTCTGAAGTGTCACAGAACGAAGTGTCATGAAAACATCTAGAAATGGGAATTCAGAATCAAGCAACTCAAAAGAGAGACCATTGAACAATAACACTGACACTCACAAAGTGTATGTCCCAAACAACTGTCATAAAAACAGAAATGTCCCGCATTTAGAAACAGGGACGGAATGCTATTGCTATCCCATCATATATTAGAATAAAGCTTGAAGTTTCACATGCCACCATCATTTATTATTAAGTGTTGCCCATGCCAGATTTGACTTAGCCGCTGTGTATTTTGCATGATTGGTGCACATGTGTAAGAATAAAGCAACAAAAAAAAATTCTAATAAGAGAGACACATTTCGGACAACATTCCTTGGCTAAAAGATCTTGTTTAAACTTTAAAGTCAGTGATGATAGACAGATGGTGTAATCTGAGAATCACAGGCAACCATGAGAACAAAGGAAATTTAATTGCAGGTCCTTTCTTCTTGATTGTAAGCAGCATGCACACACCGGTGACATAATGACACATTGGAAAGGCGCATTTCCTATTTAACTTAAAATGTGTTTGCGATGAGAGACATCACACTTAGTTTGTCTCAGCCTCTGTGTTTACATCTGTTAATCAGCTGCTTGTTCAGAAGATGATTCGAACGCTCCTGGCCTTCGATTAAAGCACCTAATTGTGCTTTTCTTGTCTTCATGACAAGCACCTGCATCAACAGTCATTCCAGAGCACGAGTATAGCGTGCAGAAGGCTGGGTTAGATATTCATACTGCATGCAGGATCATGCTGCTCATAGCACCCTAAAGCTCTGACCCGGCACAAAGTCAATGAGAAACAGATGTTCCCTTTGCAAAATCTGCAACCCGCTAACTGTTATTCTGATACCAGTAATACTGCCATCATACCAGCTTAAGGTCAAGCAGATTCTTCAGAGGTGTTCTCAGATATTTAACTCTATTGAAATGACCAAAGAAAACTATGGAAGCTTGTTTCCGTCATAGAATGAAAAATAAAAAGGTAATTGCGACTTTTTATCTCACAATTCTGACTTTTTCTCACAATTGCGAGTTTACATCTCGCAATTCTCACTTTATTTCTCCGAATTGCGAGATGTAAAGTCAGAATTGCGAGATATAAAGTCAGAATTGCGAGATATAAAGTCAGAATTGTGTGATATAAAGTCAGAATTCCGAGATATAAAGTCAGAATTGAGAGATATAAAGTCAGAATTGCGAGATATAAAGTCAGAATTGTGTGATATAAAGTCAGAATTTCGAGATATAAAGTCAGAATTGTGTGATATAAAGTCAGAATTCAGAGATATAAAGTCAGAATTGCGTGATATAAAGTCAGAATTTCGAGATATAAAGTCAGAATTGAGAGATATAAAGTCAGAATTGCGTGATATAAAGTCAGAATTTCGAGATATAAAGTCAGAATTGAGAGATATAAAGTCAGAATTGCGTGATATAAAGTCAGAATTTCGTGATATAAAGTCAGAATTGAGAGATATAAAGTCAGAATTGCGTGATATAAACTGGCACTTTTCTCTAGTACTGCAAAGCAACTTCTCCTTAAGGGGTTTTTAACTTGACATAAGCGGAACATTTACTCATTATGCCTAATGCCCTCTTCAAGGAGTTCATAATCAACTTTTTTCCATGTCCTCAGGTGAGATACAGAGATAAGACAGCCCATTTTCCATAGGTACTACCACAGATGTGTGGATGAAGATAAGTGGGGCAACACAAACACAAGCCCCTCTTAATCTAAGATCCCTCAAGAGACAAAAATCCTTCATTTTGGCCTTTACAAGCATCTGAGAAACATCATTTCTACACTTCAAAGTTGGTCCCTAAGAACCAAGTTATTGTTTTCACAACTGCCATGTTTGGTCAATCCTGATGGATGTTTTATTGCTCAGATGTTGCTCTTTCATGGCTCACAAGACAAGACATTTCTTCAAACAGTCCTCAGGAGAAATAAAAATAGACACAACTGCTAACATTCAATATACATAACAGAGCTAGCTATAAAATAAATGCGGACCGCAGCTCAGATCAGTGGATTTTTTTTTTTATATATTTGAGTCAAACTTTTTAAAAGCACTATAAAGTACCAGAACACCAGAAAGTACTAGAAATCTCCATTTACTGTGCATTTATTTTGATTGATGTAAACTACGAAAAAAATCCTATTGAAAAACAAAAACTCACGATCTCTTTGACGATCTTGTCCACGACGCTCTTGTCCTGTAGGTTGTGCACGTAGCGGGCGGCTGGAGGGCTGGCCAGTAGTCGCAGCTGTTCCACGTTGGCAGCGGATGTGAAACCTACTGTGAAGAATTTAATCCCTTGGTTCTTGGCATCAGCTAAAGCAGAGAAAATATCGGGATTCTTGGGATGCGACACGCCGTCGTACAGCAGAATGGCCACCTTCACGGTGCCAGGGCCAGACTCCTCCAGGTAGATGCGGGTGAGGTTGGTGATGGCGTAGGTGGTGTAGGTACCGTGCCCTATGTAGGAAATGGGCGCGATGCGGTCATGGAAAGTGGCCACACCTCTCCAATCTTTGAAGGTCTGCTCGGTGATCACGTGACTGCTGTACTGAAGGACAGCGGTTCTGAAGTTCAAGCCCCGTCCGGTTTGGAGATTGATGTTCTGGATCCGAGTAACGAGATCTGTAACGAAGCGTTTCTCTTGGGCATGGTTGCCTTTGGCACTTTCTGAACTGTCCACTAAAAATGCCAGTTCCAAATTACAGTCCTCATCTAAAAGACGGAGAGAACAACAACAAAAAAAAAAAAAACAAGCATGTTATTTTGACATTTTATTTCTGAATGGATGTAAAAAAACGTTTTCAAACATTGACGTCAAACGTGGTTTTTATTTGGGGCTTGACTGTAAATATGGAGTGTTTTGGAATATAAAAGAGTTCTGTGAAGATTCTTCAAGTGTTATTGATGATCAAAAACTAAAAATTACTAATAAACATTAATTGAAATAGAAAAACAAAACTTAATCTTATTTTATTTCAGCTAGTGGCCAAAGCAACATTTTTCGTTTACTTGAAGTACTAAAATAACTAAAGCTAAATAAAAAAAAAAAATTAGGGCTGTCGTTATTAACGCAAACCCATTTTAATGGCGTCAATTTTTTAATCGCGCAATTAACTAGCAAACTTTGTAGTGTTTTTTCACATGCTTTTGCAACAGGACGCGACCGAAACCCATTCGTTTCAATGGCTTGCGCCACGCGAGGACGTTTCGTTTGCTACGTTGACCAAAGCGCAAGCGGAACTAGCTAGACCGGAAACAAAACAACAGGCACGCCGCACACACGTTTTGGGCTTGCGAGCTGGCCAAATAGTTGATTAACGTTGCGTTTTGAGTGGATGATGAGCGCGAGACGCCAAAATGGATGCCAATAAGATTTTGAATGGAAACTTTACTTTGCTAAAAAGTTGCTAAATTGGTAAATTGACAAGACAAGGTGTCGTTGTGAACTAAGCAATCATCATCGCAGCACATCTAGTCTGAAACACCACTTGATTGCCAAGCACACACACACACACAGATGATGCGAATTCTCCACCCCCACGTCAATATCACGACCTCGTCAGTATTTCTTTCAGCCTTTTATGGATAGACAGTTGCATTGTGTGAGAGATTATTTGCTCCAAGTGAGAATGTCAGTGTGAAATTGAACACAGTATATGCCAATGTTGTTTTCAATAAAAAACAATTGCACGAAGCAAGCCGATCCACTTTTCCATGCATCAAAATGAGAAAAAATAATGTGAGAAAAAGAAATCAAGAGACATTTAGAATAGATGAAAATGTGCGATTAATTGCGAGTTAACAATGACATTAATGCGATTAATCGCGATTAAATATTTTAATAGCTTGACTGCACTAAAAAAAATAGATATACATTTTTAATAAGTAATAAAAAACGACTAAAACTTTAAAATGGAAATGAAAACACCAAATATAAACATTAAATCTAAATCCAAATTTAACAAGAACTACAATAGAATTTCACTGACACTATAATAACTGCAGAGTACTGGTTTGGGAAAAAAACTTTAGCAAATACAATTTTGGGGGGATTAGCTATTTTTTAAGTGAGACTTGGAATAAAGTAAAAAAAAAAAATGCTGAATTGTGAACACATGCAGTATAATGTGTTCTGCCACTAAAGGACAGCCAGTGACTCCTATTCGACTTGAATCGTTTGATAACTGTTTAGGTATTACATAAATACCATGAAGTGTCAGCCAAAAACAAATGTAAAGGTAAAATTAAATGTGATCCGTCTGAAATTACCCTAGTCTACAGTAAATCACATTTATGAAGAAGAACAAACATGTCCGAGAGGTAATTTGCCCCAGGACGGTGAGCAGCATTTAGATTAAATTCAGAAGCCCTGGAGAGGAGAGCAGACTGGAAGTATTTAAATCAGTTTCATATGTTCAATAAAAATCATATCACATGTCTAAAAGTTGAGGACCAGACCATGCATGACAGAGTTAAATCAATCTGGATTATCTCATATCACCTGGACCAAAAATATAGGAGATTTTTGATCATAAAAACTTAAAGTATTTTGCAAGCCGCCTGCTATTTGCGGTGTTGAAAGGCGAATAATATTTACCGTTATTTTTTGGGATGACATTTGAGGTGATTTTGTTTCTTCCATTTCTCTTATCTTCTACATCATCAGCATCATCATCATCATCGAGATCCTCCAGCTGAGCCAAAACAAGCTGAACTCCCAACAGCAAAACCAGCCAACTCACACACAGCCGGATCATCACTACAGTACGAGAGAGAGAGAGAGACAATATTAAGAATAGATAACAGTGTTTTGTTGTCACATTCAAAGTTTGCAATCAGTATTGGCTTTTCACTCTAAATATGAAAAAGTGGAATAGCACAGAAGTTATTTTCTCATGATGCTCGTGATTTTGACCCACACACTTAAGAAAAGGTTCTATATAGAACCTTAAAAGGTTCTATCAGCGCTACGTATATTTGGAACCCCTATACACTCTTAAAAAAAGGGTTCCTCTGTGTTCTATATAGAACCCTGGGGTTCCATACTTGGCCAATAGAACCTTTTACCAAAAAAAATGGTTCTATATAGAACCATTTTGGAGTTCCATACATGAAGCGGGGGATGGAACCATTTCTGGTTCTAAATAGAACCATTTCTTCTAAGAGTGCATACTGAACTCTCCAAACAGAATCATAAACAGCTAATGAGAGCAAAATGTGCACTTACTGTGTGAAGCAGCTCTGATTTCAGAACAGTACCGGCTTGAGAGGATCAGAAGCTCATGACAGACTTCACCGCCTCTTCTGTATGAGATTCACACGCAAGAAAAAGTTGCCATATGAAAGGACGGAGAATCCTTGGATATGTGTGAAGAGCGCATGGGTTTGCTGTGTGAAATGTGCATCAGCTTCATTCATGTATCTGCTGCCATCCAGAGGAACACTGATATCCAGAGCTCCTCCCACAAACATTTTTACATATAATTTAATATATTAGAATATATAAAATGCATGGCTGTGCATAAATGTAAACAAGACTGTTTTAATTTTTTCTTCAAAGCAAGTGGAGTTTAAAATAATTTCTATCTAGTATATTTTGGTAAAACATATCGATCTACTACTAATTAAATCAGCTATTTGAATGCACAGTCAAATCTCTTAATGATTTTGTATATGTAATAACTTCAAAAATCACGTCAACAGACTTATAAATGCTTAAAGGATTCATGGAGGATCTCCAGCAGGGATTGTTAATGTCCTGAAGTGTAGTGATATACAGCTACTGTATGTCAGCATGCTGTGTGGAAACACCACTGTACAGCCCTGGAACATCAGAGCATGTGGTGTTCAAAGCATGCCAGGCAGTAATAAAGCAATAAAAACTTTGAATCTGAGCGGAAACATAAATTCAGTTTTGAGCCAATGTTGACGGCAGGGCTTAAAAGAGTTGTTCACTTTTGAAAAAAATTTGCTGATGATTTACTCTCTCCATCGTGCCACTCTTTGAGTCGCCAGATCTTTACGTGGTTATTTCAGCAACCCAAAGCAGTTTTTATTTTACAAAAACAAATACAAACATATTTCTGAAACTGCTTCTCTGTTTCTTGCTGCTGGGCGTGATTATTTTCAGACAGAGCCACCATTGGAAAGTGTTATTGAACTAAGTTTAGTAACTCAGTTTTTTCCCCATAATCTGAATGCTACATAAATACTTGAGAAAAATGTATAAATTTGTTTTACAGTGTGGCATGAAGTCTGAAAAATCACTGATAGGGGAGACCGGGGACAGTTGCAACATGTCATTTATCTCCAATCAGAAACGAGCTAGAGTGATGACACTCACACTGCACATGCACGATTGGATTGCAGAGAAAAATCAAGGAGATTCCTGAGCTGCTCCAGGATTTATTGACAAAAAAATGTTTTTGAAATATGAAAGTATTTATTTTCTTGAGCTTTGTTTTTGTCATACTGTTTTGTCACACTTTTTATGTGATTCAATATGTTAACTTTAAGCTGTATGGTTAGCATGCATCAAGGTAGCCTTGTTTAGCTGGCACATGAGGTTTTATCATGGCTGACAGGAACGGGGACAGTTGCAACATGATAAAACAATCATGAACAATGCATAAATAATTAAACATAATATAAAATAGTTTTGCATGACAATAGGCTAAATAAAAGTTAATTGCATAACAAATTGTTCCATTCTTCCTATGTCACTAAAAGCCTACTGTATTTTATATCAGTTTGAATATTTGACATCTGCACATAAGGCCTATTCATATATATATATATATATATATATATATATATATATATATATATATATATATATATATATATATATTCTAATTTTGAAATCTTTATTTCGAACATGAAATAGAAAGTATATAAAAATATAAAACAATGTTTTTAAAACGGGAAAAAAACAAAACAAATGAGCAGCAAAAAAAAAAAAAATATATATATATATATATATATATATACATTACATATATATATATATATATATATATATATACACACTTCTTTGCTGTTGACATACTACGGAGGCGTATTGCATTGAAGAAAAAGAATCTACTCTGTTTTTCTGAATTAACGAGTTACTTTTTTTTATGAGAAAAAAATGCTCTGTTTTTTCTGAATTAATGAGTTCATTTTTCATGAGAAAAAATTTTTTTGCTCTGTTTTTCTGAATTAATGAGTTAATTTTTCAAGAGAAAAAAGTTTTTGCTCTGTTTTTCTGAATTAATGAGTTAATTTTTCATGAGAAAAAAATTAACGAGTTAATTCAGAAAAACAGAGCAAAAAAAATTCCTTGCAAAATTAACTTGTTAATTCAGAAAAACAGAGCAAAATATTTTTCTCATGAAAAATTAACTCATTAATTCAGAAAAATAGAGCAAAAAAATTTTTTCTCATGAAAAATTAACTTTTTTTTTCTTCAAGTGAATGCAATACGCCTCCGTAACATACTTCTATTACATGTGCGAAAAGGAATAGGAAGAAGTAAAACTTATATACTCCTACCCCCTAAATAAATCTATTATTGTCATCTAATCAAAGCTAATGAATAAATAACACTGTGATATTATTACAACTTACATTTTTGAGAATAATCATTTTGCTTAAAGTGACATAGATTGTATTTGTAACATATTGCAATTGTCCCCGGGCCTGGGGACTCCTTTCACTCAAATGCAAATTGTGAAAAATATAGATTCTGTTATTATCTTTAAAAGGTTTAGAGTGTAGCCTATGCTTATGCCAGCAGAGGGTAGCAGAACCACGTGTTACATTTATTTATTTTTTGACACACACACACACAATCACATTATTTACAATTTAGTAAAAAAGTTGTTCAAAACTAAGTTTCACAATAATAATACCTCAAGGAGAGTGAGTCTGTGCACTGAATCTATTGCAAATGAAGGCTATGAACTGATGCATTTCTTTCCAAATTCCCAAAATCATCTACCTGACCTATTTGCATTTCCCAACCAGCGCCTAAACATGGACACTATGTGAAACAAGAAAAAAATGGAATAAGTTGGAATATTGAGGAAAAATAAATTACCATCTTTGATTATACACTCTAAAAAATGCTGGGTTGTTTTAACCCAATTTTGGGTCAAATATGGACAAACTCAAACATTGGGTTAAAAACGTAATTTAAAAAATGTAACCCAATGGCTGGGTTTGTCCATATTTGACCCAAAATTGGGTTAAAACAACCCTGCATTTTTCTATGAGCACACAAATGAATCCATACAGAGAACTAGAGTCTCTGACACGCCTTTTGAAATAACATATGACATCTTTTTCTTCTCCTGACAATGTTAATCTCATTCCTGGAAAGGGCCGTGTTAAAGAATAGGGGAGGAACTGCCGGGTTTTGATGAATTCATTAAGACCAACAACAAAACAGACACTCATATTCTCTCAGCTGATTGGTGGATTCATTTCCCCCCTCCCTCTCCTCATTTTAAGTAGTGAATTAATAATATTGTCGACACAAGATGACAACAGGCACTGATCAAGATGTTTTGTGGATGTATTCATACTCATTTCTCACTGTCTGTTGTTGCCTCGTGTCGATCTCCTCGAGGGTCTCGGGGCCACAGGCTCCTCTAGCTGATGTATTAGTTGGCATATGCAAGCTATGAATTATCAAGGAAAAAGAGTCAATTATCCAGTCCTGAAAGAGAGCCGAGCCGCTGTGGCCTTAGGGCCTTCTGCATTTATAAAATCATTTCATGGAGAACAATGCTGAGGAGCCAAGGGACCCCAGACGGGTGGAGACGAGAGAGTGTCCGGGGACACACACACACACACACGTTGTGTTTTCATGACTTTCCATAGACATAATTATTATAATACTGTACAAACTGTCCCCTTACAATAACCCGACCCCTAAACTTACCCATCGCACAAAAAATTCTGCATTTTTACATTTTCAAAAAAAATTTAATTTATAAGATTTATAAGCTGTATTCCTCATGGGGACCAAAAAATGTTGACTTCGGATATTGCCATCTTTGTAACCTGGACCCCCCACACATACACACACACACACACACACACCATCTTCACCACCCAGAAGGCAGAAAGCACATTTTGAACTCCTCGATAAAAATCCATATTTCTAAACAGTGATTCTTCATAGAGATTTAAAGAAAGCTTCACACCCCACTGCTTTTTTTCTTATTTTCCCATTAAAAATGGAAATAGTTTCTGATTAACAGGGACAGACCATTACGCTCTCATAACCGAGACACGTTTCATTCCTTTTTGGTTTGATTTTTCCAGTCACGCTGCTTGACTTTGAGCTAATGTAGATCTGTTTTGTAAATAGAAATAAAATGTATTTCCCTCGTGATTAGCGCGTGACAGGACAAAATTGAGAGAGGTTTAATAAGGTGACTGTAATTTCACAATATTATTGTTTTTATTTCAGCCTTTAACCCAGCAAACAAATAAAAGACGTTTAATAGCTGTACAAACACAGATGTCTAGGCTAAAACGATGGACTTCAAAATTTGGACTGTCAGTGAATATTTCATAGACGTCTAAACCATAGCCCAAGAATAGACTATGTAACAAGGAAATGAAATGGGTGAAGAAATGACCTTGTAATCACTGTTTACTTTGCTTACATGATGAAATATCTTACATCTCGCATATATCCAAATTCAAGATTATTTTGGCAAGAAGTGGGTTACTCATAGCGGACTATATCGGGTCTATACCTAGACGGTGAGATGATGGCTATTGCTTGCTGGGAAGTGTCTTTCAAAAATATAAAATCTTGTATTTTTTAAAAAAGTATCTTGCTATATCAAATTTTTTGCTCCTATACACTCTCAGAAAAAAAGGTACAAAAGCAGTCACTGGGGCTGTACCTTTTCAAAAGGTAAACTTTTGTCCATTTTTGGTGCTAATATGTACATTTCAGGTGTTAATATGTACATTTTAGGTGTTAATATGTACATTTAAGGAGCTAATATGTAAATTTTAGGTGGTAATATGTACATTTTAGGAGCTAATATGTCCATTTTAGGTGCTAATATGTCCATTTTAGCTGCTAATAAGTACATTTAAGGAGCTAATATGTACATTTTAGGTGTTAATATGTACATTTTAGGTGTTAATATGTACATTTTAGCTGCTAATAATTACATTTAAGGAGCTAATATGTACATTTTAGGTGTTAATATGTACATTTTAACTGTTAATATGTACATTTAAGGAGCTAATATGTACATTTTAGGTGTTAATATGTACATTTGAGGAGCTAATATGTCCATTTTAGGTGTTAATATGTACATTTTAGCTGCTAATAGGTAAATTTTAGGTGTTAATATGTACATTTTAAGTGTTAATATGTACATTTAAGGAGCTAATATGTACATTTTAGGTGTTAATATGTACATTTTAGGTGCTAATATGTCCATTTTAGGTGCTAATATGTACATTTTAGGTCCTAATATGTACCACTAAGGCACCAATATGCAGCCTTTGGGTACAAAAGTGTACCTTTTGAAAAGGTACAGCCCCAGTGACAACTTTTGTACCTTTTTGCCTGAGAGTGTTATATCTTCACTATTTCTCCCCCACGCCGAGGAACAGTTTCCCCAAAGTGTCTGTGAACTACAAGACCCCTGTGACGGCCTATTTACATGAGTTTTAAACGAAACAACCTTCTTTTGACAAATCGTGTAGCTCCATCATTATTCAATATACATAAATGCATTTTACGGCATTAACGAACAAAAAAGCACATGTTCTGTGTGCGAGTATGAACTTTATCCCTGTCGTACCTTGCAAAAATTCAACAGCAAAAAGAGCGTGCAACAGACCACACACACGGTGGTTAAACAGTTAGCGGCGGGAATCATTACAAAAGTGCATTATTATTGAAAGTGCTTTATTACGGGCGGTGTTGTCATGCGGATTTACATCTTTTGTCGGGACGTAAAGACAAGGCTCCGTTTTATTTCTCGGCTTCATTCGGCGTTACGTGCTTTCTCATCCAAACAGCCGGTCGGGTTTTGATTCTTCTAATCGGTCTCTGCCTCTCTCGGTACAGTAAGCATTTGAGAAAGCACTTATTGAGAGGGAAGGAGAAAGGCTTGAACCTCTCCCGAAGAGGTGAGCTCCATCTCCACTCGGGGCTTAAGTGACAGGTAAATTGCAAGTTAAGTGGGGAACACAGCCTTTTAACAAGAGGCTTCGAGCCGCTGCAAATCCTCCTTAGTCTCTAATCTGAATACAAAAGCTCGAGGCGGGGTGGATTAAATTTGACCCCTGAATGAGGTGTTTGTTCCAGCCGAGGAGCCACTTTAGCCGAGAGGAGCGAGCCAGGTTTACGTTTCCTTTTGTCCGCGTTTAAAAACAACAGGGCCACAATGAATTCTCTTAGAGGCTCTTTTTCCTCGGGACAAAGGAAAGAGTGGAGCCACCGGCTTCCCCCGCAGGCTCGCCTATTTAGACGACTCTAAAAGACTGTTTATTTAATTGGGGATGAAATGCCATAACGGGCTCCGCTATCGGTGGCGCAGGAAAACAAATCCAGCTTTCTTTGGCGACAGGCTGAAAGGGGAGAAGGGCTTCGGCGAGAGCGAGAAGGGGAAAAGCGCTTTTGGGTTGTCAACTTTTTAGAGGCTTAGAGTCAAACCTATCCGGGCTC